TCCACAAATCACAAGACTCTTGTGGTTTTTAAAAGCACTTTCTTGAAGACTGAGCAGAGCTAGGAATGAGGCTGGGTGTTTCTCCATCATGCTTGGGCAATCTGAAAACTTCCACTGCCCAGATTCCACTTCTTTCTATATTTGTGTAAAGTAGTGATCTAGTTTGAGCAGGTTCCTTTCAACAACAGTATTTCTTGTTTTCCTTACTAATTTTCTAGCTTTATCAGACCATTGTCTTTTGGGTGGTGGTTCTAGTGCAGCAGTTGTGTTACCACTTTTAAAATGCACTTTAAATCAGTGGTGATGGGTTACTGCTGTGTGTCAGTGATTTCAGCTCAGGCTCTTTTAAACTGCACTCTTGCAGAAAACTGGGGTCTTTTTTGCCTGTAAAGAGTCTCCTAGTGTGAAGTTCCCCTTTGTGCACGAGTGTCAGCTTCCACAAATAATCAGTGCTTCAAACAAGACAGCTTTCATTTAAGGAGATGGCTTGATAGAAGCACACCGATTTGCCAGCTCTGAGTTACTTGGAAGAAAAGCCTTCTGAAAGTCATTTGAGTTTGTGAAGACAACGTGACACCAGGCTGGCTTTCGCCAAGCTAATGGTGACTGCACTCTTAGAGGAGGATGGGTAAGTCTCTTTTCTTGTACTTTTTGAGGATTTTTTTCACGCACTGCTCTACTTCATCCTTTCATAATTAAATCTTTTGCTCTGTGCTTTCAAAGGCTTGCCTGTAAAGCAGCTTTTGGTGGTGTAGAGATCTGAACTGGAAAGTGTCTCTGGGTTTCTTTCTGGACGTGTTGCCACGATCAAATAGTCAGCAGTCCTCAAAAGCAGTTCACAAGTTGTACTTGTAGAAATTTGATTTATCTTATCTGTTCTGCTTGAGAAACTAAAATAGCAAAATAGCTTGCATGGGCACTAAATCCATACATTTTCTGGAGCTTAGAAGGGCATGCTATGGGTATGTCACTGGTAAATGATCAAAACCAGAATACCTTGGATATCCTGGAACATGACATGGGTATGTAGTCGGCAGTCCTGCTTCTGTGGCTGAGAGTACCGCAGGGTCCCTCAATGAGTTCTTTGAATTTCAGTGAAAAGACTTTTAAAGGACTGCTTTTTAGGGATTGTTGTTTCCAGTGTAGAGTTGTGTCCTGGGTTTAGCAGTGGCAGTCAATTTTTCTCCTTCTTAGTAGCTGGTGCAGAGCTGTGTTTTGACTTTCAGCCTGGGAACAGAGCTGATAACACTGATGTTTACTCTGACCAAGGACTTTGTGAATCTCATGCTCTGCTAGGGAGGGGGGGAGGCTGGTAGAAAGCAGAGACAGGACACCTGACCCAAACTGGCCAAAGAGGTATTCCATACCACAGCCTGTCATGCCCAGGGAGGTAACGGGGAGTTACCCGGAAGGGAACTCTCTTCTCGGTTGGGCTCGTTTCGGCAGTTGGTATCATCTTCTCTTTCCTTGTTATTTCCCTTTTCATTATTATTCTTGGTGGTAGCAGTAGTGGTTTTGTGTTCTACCTTAGTTACTGGACTGTTCTTATCTCAGCGCGTGGGAGTTCCATTCTTTCGATTCTCCTCCCCATCCCTCTGTGAGCAATGGTGCGTGCGGAGGGGGAGGGGTAGGGCAGGCCCAGGGATGAGGGGCGGGGGGGCAGCTGCATAGGCGGTGAGGCCCGGGGGAGGTGGGGGTGTTCCATGGGGAATTGCAGGGGTTGCCCGGGGAGGGGGGGCGGAGCGGGGTTCCCGGGGTGCTGCAGGTTCCCGGAGCGCCCCTGGAGGGGTTCGCTGGGGCTGCTGCAGAGCCGCAGCGCTCCCAGCTCTGCTCTTTGGGAGGTTCAGTGTTGCTGGTGAAGGGCTTCCCATCAAGGTTGTGACCTGAATCGAGGTTCCGGTGTGGCCTTGAAACTGGGTCAGAGCTCTTGTAAGCAGAGTGGCAGCTCATGTGTACGAGCAAGGGTTGTGCTCAGCAGCAAGCCCTTGGAGGTGATTTGGCCCTTGCTATGGAGCTTTGTAGCTCGAGAGATTTGCACGTGTTGGATCTGTGCAAAAGTAAGGAACTTCTTCCTTCTGTCCAATCTCAACTTCCCCTGTTTAAGTTTTAAGCCGTTACCCCTTGTCCTATCACTCCAGTCCCTAGTGAAGAGTTCCCCTCCAGCATCCTTGTAGGCCCCCTTTGGATACTGGAAGCTGCTCTGAGGTCTCCACGTAGCCTTCTCTTCTCCAGGGTGAACAGCCCTGATTTTCTCAGCCTGAATTCCTACAGGAGGTGCTCCAGTCCTGTGATCATCTTCGTGGCCCTCCTCTGGACTTGTTGCAGCAGTTCCATGTCCTTTTTATGTTGAGGACACCAGAACTGCACACAATACTCCAAATGATGTCTCATGAGAGCAGAGTAGACCTGCTGGTCACACTCCGTTTGATGCAGCCCAGGATACGGTTGGCTTTCTGGGCTGCAAGCGCACTTAAGCTGGCTCATGTTCATTTTCTCATCGACCAGCACCCCCAAGTCCTTGTCCACAGGGCTGCTCTGAATCTCTTCTCTGCCCAACCTGTAGCTGTGTCTGGGATTGCTCCGAGCCAGGTGTAGGACCTTGCCCTTGTCATGGTTAAACTCCATGAGCTTGGCATCAGCCCCCCTTACAAGCGTGTCGAGGTCCCTCTGGATGGCATTCCTTCCCTCCAGCGTATCAACCAAACCACACAGCTTGGTGTCATCGGCAAACTTGTTGAGGGCACACTCAATCCCACTGTCCATATCGGCAACAAAATGTTGAACAAGAATGATCCCTGAGGGACACCACTCATTACTGGTCTCCAGCCGGACATTGAGGCATTGACCACAACTCTTTGTGTGCGGCCATCCAGCCAGTTCTTTATCCACCGAGTGGTCCATCCATCAAATTGGTGTCTCTCCAATTTAGAGATACGGATGTCGTGTGGGACAGTGTCACATGCTTTGCACAAGTCCAGGTAGATGACATCAACTGCTCTACCCCTGTCCATCAGTTCCGTAGCCCCATGTCCCTAGTTTGTCTTTTATTCAGTATGTACCTATAGAATCCCTTCCTGTTATCCTTAACATCCCTAGCCAAGTTTAATTCTAAGTGGGCCTTAGCTTTTCTAACCCAGTCCCTAGCTTCCTGGACAATATCCCTATATTTTTCCCAGGCTGCCTGTCTTTGCTTCCACCTTTTAGAAGCCTCTTTTTTTCCTTCAGCGTTTCCTCAACAGCTCCTTTTTGATCCAAGGAGGTCTCCTGGCCCTCCTACTGTGCTTCCTTCTAGTTGGGATGCAACACTTCTGAGCTTGCAGTAGGTGATCCTTGAATATCAACCAACAGTCTTGGGCCCCCCTGCCCTCCAGGGCTATATCCCATGGAACCTTACTAAGCAGGTTCCTGAAGAGGCCAAAGTCTGCTCTCTTGAAGTCCAGGGCAGTGAGCTTGCTGCGTGCTCTCCTCACTGTCCTGAGGATCTCAAATTCGACCATCTCATGATCGCTGCAACTTGGAGTGTCACATTTCCAATGAGCCCTTCCCTGTTGGTGAGCACGAGGGCAAGCATGGCACCTCTCCTTGTGGGCTCCTCTGTTACTTGCAGAAGGAAGTTGTCTTCCACACAATCGAGGAACCTCCTGGATTGCTTGTGCCGGGCCGTACCATCCCTCCAACAGATATTAGGGTGGTTGAAGTCCCTCATGAGAACAAGGGCCTGTGAGCGTGAGGCTTTTCTTAATCTGTCTGTAGAGTGCTTCATCCACAGATTCCCCTTGATCAGGCGGTCTGTAACAGATCCCCACAGTAATGTTCCCCATAGCTGTTCTCCCTTTAACCCTGACCCACAAACTCTCTGTTGACTGCTCACCTGTCCCCAGACAGAGTTCCATACTCTCCAGCCTATCCCTAACATAAAGGACAACTCCCCCTACCCGCCTGCCAGGCCTGTCTTTTCTAAAGAGCCTGTAACCTTCCATCCCAACACTCCAGTCATAGGAGCCGTCCCACCATGTTTCTGTGACGCCCATTATATCATATCCCCGTAGAGGCGCCCGCATCTCTAATTCCTCTCGTTTGTTCCCCATGCTACGGGTGTTTGTATAGAGGCATCTGAGCCGAGCTCCAAATGCAGCCGGCTCATTGGCTGGAGCGGCTGGGATATCTCTACATTGCTCCCAGCATTTATTATAGGTGCTGGCAACTGACTGGGTGTGTTGGGATGGAATGAAGACCCCCTCCCCCAACACATGTAGCTTAAAGCGTCCTTGTCCAGTCTGGCAAGCCTCCTACCAAAACCGCTCTTCCCCTTGTCAGACCCCAACTCCACCAGCCCGCAGTAGACCTGGCCTACTAACTTGGGTCGCATTCAAGATACACAACCCCCTGACACCACCCTTCTAACCCTTTGTTAACCTGGCCAGTCCTCCTAGCCTTTTTAGGGTTCTCCCCTGTATCCTGGAGAATGGATGAAAAGACAACCTGAGCTCCAGAGCCCCTAACCACCTCTCTCGGGGCTCTGTAGTCCTTCTCTATGTTCTCCAGGCTACTGCTAAGTACATCCCTAGCACCCACATGGATCACTAGAAGTGGGTGATAGTGGGCCTTACTAGAGCAGGCTGCCTCTTTGCAACATCTCTGATCCATGCCCCTGGTAGGCAACACACCTCCCTTGAGACTAGGTCAGGCCAACAGATGGGTGCCTCTGTGCCTTTCAAAGTAGAGTCCCCTGCCACTATGACCCGCTGCTTTTTCCTGGCAGCACCAGTAGAGATCTTTCCCAGTGCATCAGGCGGTTGTTTCTGGTGCGAGTGTGTTTCCACATTAGCCGCCTGCAGGACAGCAAAGCGGTTCTGGGTGGGGAAGGCAGATTTAGGAGGAAGCCCCTTGCCTTTAATTGTCCTCATCCTCTTTTTTTTTTTTTTTTTTTTTTTTGGTTGTGTTCATTCTCAGTTCGTGCTGTTGGAATCTGCTCGTGCTAAATCTGGGATCTGTTTTAGATTTAGATGTCTCAGTGGACACCTGGAGCTTCTTCTCTACTTGCCTGGTGTCCTTATGGCTGCACAGGCTTTACGTCTATTCTGCAGCTGCTTTTGGGATCAGCATTTGAGTCGTCATTCAGTTCTCCACCTCCAAACCCAGAAGAAGGTAACAGAGCATGTAAGTGCTTTGAGAAGAGCCCCAAAATCTGTGTGTGGAAGCGAGTAGTTGCTGGGGAAAGGCAGCCCCTGGTGCAGTGAAATGTGGTACTTCATTGTGGGCTCACCTGGGTTGTTGCATGTGCCAGCTGTAGTTCAGTGTGACTGATGGTTGTAATGCTCAGTCTGAGTTGTCTTATGTTTGTGGGTAACTGAATGCCCTTGTTGCTCTGCTGTTACAGCAGAACTCAGCTGAACACTTCCCTTTTGTTACCGAGGGAGTGCGTCAGCCTGGGTTGCTCTGTCACTTCAGGCAAATCACTCTGCTTCTGCACAGTGTTCTCACTTTTCCTGTGATGTTAATGATAAGGTTGGGCTGGTTTTGGGACCAGAGTGGGATTAGGCCACTCGGGAACTTAAATCCTTCTTGTTCAGGTGAGCGAAGTTCCGCTTTAGGAGTTGGGAAGTTCTTGTCTTCAGCCAGAGCCTGTTATGTCACTGGTGTGCGAGGTGAGCGTGTTGTAGCATGGCCTAGTTCGGAGACAGCTACTTGTGTGTTTCTGTAGGGTGAGAGACGCTCACGTGCTTTGTTCCATTTGCATGGTGCTGAGAGTCTGGTCAGAGGACGGGAATTTTCAATGCTTTTGGGAAAAATGGGGTTACCATCGCTTTGAAAAGGGATGGAACGGGACACAGTGCTTGTTTCACATGACACTTTGTTTCACAGGGTGAAAAACCCACTGGGAATCCCTCTTCTTCTGAAGGGATAGAAGACAAGCTAGTCAATGGATGTGCCACCCTGCAGAGAAAGGAGGTCTGTGTTGCTGGTGTAAAGATTTTCTCGGGGTCTCAGGCTGCCACAGCAAAGTTAGGAGTTACTTTTTTCCATCAGACTCCTTTGTCTGGTTAGCACACAGGAAGGAGTGAGAATGCACATAGGTACTAGGCTAAGCCTTCCTGTGCTCCCCTCACTTGTTGCTGGCATTTGGGATGGGTAGGGTGTGCCCAGGAGGGACCTGGGATGACTGTTGCCACCTGCTGACTCTTTCCCCCTTAGCCATCTTTCTGTGGTGGGGTCTTTGCGTGTGCATCCTTGAGCTGCTCTCCACCCCTTCCTCAACAAACCTACTTCTGTCTGTAACTGCACCTTCCTTGTCTTGCATGGCTCTACACTGTGGACTTCTCAGAGCTTTTTCCTGAAACTCCAGGCCTTGGATCAGGAGGCTGCGTGCTCTGGAGGAGATCACGGGATCTCTGTTCCTGACCCTAGGGAGAGGAAAGGAGGTAAAATCCTCCCCACAGCTTGTAACAAGCTCTGTGAGGAGAGTAGCTCCGGTGACATGGGGCAAGGCAGGCTGCTGTGTGGAAGCTGCTGTCCCTGAGCCTGTATGGACCTGGTGCACTGCAGCTTGCATGAGAAGATGAACCGATTGGAGGGAGAAGGGCTTAATCTCTCCCTGTGTGGCTGTGCTGTGGTCCCTTCTCCTCTTCTGCCTGTGTGTACTCGCCACCAGTGGTCAGTGACAAGCACTGCCACGCAAAGACACCTGCAGCGATGAGCTGTGTTTTCTGCTGTGATGACAAACAGTTGTTCTGCCATGACAGCTGGATGCTGCCCTCTTGCCTCTGCAAATGGTGAAATCCTGAGAGTGCAGGTGTTGAGGGACTGGAAGTACACTCTTGTGCATGGAATTGTCCTGGCCCTTTTGTATATGAGCTGTGGTCAGCTGGTGAGACAGGAGGCCCTGAAGCCATGGATTGTCCTTTCTGTGTCACTGATGCCACTAAGCTGCCCTGCTCTAGTCGTGTCTAGGATTTTGGTTTAATTTTGAAGCTTTAAATGATGTAGTTCTCATTCCTGGCCTCTCTATTCCTGTTCTGCATGGCTGATGAGCCTAGCTGTAATCTACATTTCTGGTTTCATGCTTCTATAGCCAGAGCAGGTAGAGGTGAAAGGGCTTCCAGCAGTGACTTCATGTAAGTCCTCAGCTCTCTTGAGCGGGGCAATGGCAGGAGATAGGTCTGTACATATATCCTGAGGAGCCCGAGCTGCTGGCTGTCCTTCATTAGCTGGAGGAGGAATGACTGTGTGTGGGTGTTGAATCTCCCGGGGAACGTGCGTGTTGACCTGCAGCAGGTTTATGCAAGCACTTGAACTGTAAAACGGTCCCGTCGGGGCAGTTATTTACTATAATTAAAGTAAATGCTGAAGACTTGATAATGAAAGAGCAGGATGATCTGCGTTTATGAAAGTAATTTATCGTGATCAGCCTCTCCCGCTGCCAGGCAGGGAGATTGAGTTGTTTAAATCTTGGTTTAAGTCACATCCTCACTTTAGTGGCTGTGAGTTTGTGCAAGAAGTTTTCTTTTCCACATGAGCTGCCTTGTCCCTTGAGCCGTTTTTCCTCTTGCAGAATGCTGAACTATGTGAAATGAGTCTGACACTTGTTTTACACTGACATCATCTGTTGTCTTGCAGTAATCCCTCCCAGCACAGGCAATGCTTTGGGTTTTTGTAGCTGAACTATCCACACACAAGCTAACAAGTTTAAAGAGAACTGGTGCGCTTCAGGGTTCTATCAGGTGCTTCTTCATGCACAAAGTTGCTTGGGTTTGAAATGTTCCTAAACAGTTTTGAGCACAGATTTTGTGGATGTCATTGTTGTTCGTTAACTCCTCTGCATATAGGAGATGGAATAGCAGGTGTTCTGCCTGTGCAATATGGTTAATTTGCAGCAACTTAGGGTCCAGCTTTTATCCCTTCTGCAGGCAAGTAGTGCCTCTAGTGCGAATCACTCGTGGATAAGAGATGTACAGTCACAGATGGTCGGAATTCCTTGTTGTCCTGCTTTTTATGGGCTGTCAGAGTGAAGCTGTGGAGTTTTACCTAATAAATGTTTCCTCACATCTCTGCAGGTGACTGTAATTTAATTTTGCATCCATCTCCCGTTGCCTGACCTGATGGAAGTCAAGGCTGAGTTTTGTTCTACTGCTTTTTTTCCCTATGCTTCACTGCACTTCACAAAGTATCATCAAGGAGCTTGAAACAGATGCTGGGTTCTTGCAGTCATTTGGGTCAGGCAGATGACTTCAGTAGTTCAAGGTGAATGCCAGCAGCTCTTTTCCTGTCAGTCGTAGCTATTCTACTTAGGGGCTACTCTCTTGGGAAAGAGGTGGAGTTTCAAAGAGCTTCTGAAGGTGTAGGTGCACAGTTGAAGGTGCTGGTGCCTTTTGCACACTGAGTAAGTGCAAAAATTGGCACGAGGTTGGGTGGCAACAGGAAATCTTTCAAATGTATAAAATGGTGGCTGATACAGAAGTAAATCCCTCACTTGGTTTACCAAATCACATACTATGTGGTGGGGACTGCTTCAGAGCTGCTAAAAGCCAGCCCTTTTTTGCTGAGTAATTCAACTTTTGGAACTTGCTGCAGGGGATATAGTTGCAGATGATGCTGGTCAGGGTGCTGAGCTGGACCCAGACTTTGATGTGAGTGCAGATAATGCCTGTTGTTTCATGAGGGGAATTGCTGGGGGTGGAAGTTCACCAGTGGGTAATAGGACTGTGGCCTGAAGGAGGCCTGGGGAGGTCTAAGGCTGCTTCTGTTGGGTGCCTGGTGATCCAAGGCTGTGGTGCCAGGCAGGGATGAATGATGCACAAGTAGGTTGGTGAAGGTCTGGGCTTTCTCTGCATTTACCACCCTTTCAGCTGCTTATTTCTAGGCCTAGAACCTGTTCTCCAAGTGGCTTTTATTCACCAGGAGAAGGCAGTGGTGGTTCTTAGTGAATTTAATAACTAAGTGGGCTTCTAGAGTTGTGGCACATTTTCCCTGTCCTCCAAAGTTACTCCCCTGAAATGTATTTATCAGATCAAATATGAAATCTAATGGGTGTGTTTGTGGCCTGCAGGACTACTGTTAATCACAGGGACACCATTTCTTCAGGTGGATTATCTCCCACAGCTGGGAGACTGATAGACTGGAAAGACAGCTCAATCTAGACTTGTTTCCAGGGAATGAAATGGCTTTATTAACCTTTGCATTTCTAAACTGCAGGCATGAATACTAGTGATGGTAATACCCTAGTTTTCTGTTGCTGGGCTGGGAAGCAACCAAATGGTCGTATTCTCTGGACACAGTTTTGAGGTTAATGTTCTTGGTTTCCCAAAGGAAAATGTAATGGTGCTGAGAGTCACATTTGCAATGTAAAGAAAAAGGGGGGGGCGGTGTGTGTGAGAGAGACGGAGAGCAAGACTGAGATGGGGTTTACAGGAAACAATACATGGTCAAGAAGTTTGTTTCCTTCTGTGTGCATTTGCCAGGGGGGATGTTTCCTCATCCCCTTTGGCACTCTCCCCTGAAAAGGCATTCAATGGCCCTGGGAGTGCCCATCACCTCCTTTGTGAGCATGTGAGGGCTGTGGAAGACCAAACAATGCTGACACTGGATGAAGAAACTTCTGGTGAAGTCCTATTTGAAATGAGGCAGTGAGTGTTAAGATACAAGGTGCTTAAGGTATAAGGCTTACAGAAAAAGGGTTGTCTGCAATTTTGAGTTGCAGGCAGAAACTTGTTGGAGTGCCCAAGAATTGTTAGCTGTATTTTAAGCTACCTGCATGAGGCTGGGGTACTTAACGGTCAGATTTAAAACCAACTAAAATTGATACACAGGTTCAGAGCTCTCCAAAAACTTCCTGGAACTTTTTAAGGTGTGAAAGATTCCTATAGGAGCACTGTGCTTTCATCTGCAGCAGCTCATTTGGCTGGGCTGGGCTGGGCTTTGACCTCTGCTGCTGTGGTTCAGAAAATAAACTTCCTTAAATGTGGATTTGTCAGAGGGACACTTGTCCCTTTCCTTCAAATCTTTCTTCTCTAAATCTTGTCCATTGAAAAGGGTTATAATTCATAAATAACATTACAAGAGCTCTTGAGGCTTGCCTTTTCTGGGTAGGACTTGGGAGTCCCTGCTAAATAAGGGCGGAAGAAAGCAAAGTTCCTTTAAAGGTAAGCTCAGGCTGGAGCTTGTGTTTGGCTGCACTGGTGTTCTGTGGGACAAGCCCCGCAGGCTGGGCCTGCAGCTGCAGCAGCTCTCCAGGTTCTTGCTTGCAGTGGTCAGTGCAGTTTGGACTCACCTTGTCCAGTGTCCCCCTGCTCTGTGTGAAGAGCAGCTTTGGAGAGTGGGAGCTGCTTTTTCTTTCCTGTTACAAGGTGAGCCACAGTTTTGTTTCCTTTGCTGATACTTGTGTTGCCAGAGTAGGCCCAGTCTTCACCTGTCCTTGTTTGTGTGTCAGAGGTGCTCTTCTGACGTCCCTCTCTTGCTGTTGGGTTGCAGAGGCTTGGCATGAGATGGGGACTGCATTTTGGTAGGTGCTGTGGATGTGCTGATGAGATGCAATCTTTCCAAAAAGCTCTCTCAACAGAAGAGAGTGGCACTGAGAGAACAGAAGTAGCATTCTCTCAGCTCTACAGAAAGAGCTGGATGCTATAACATGTCATGAAACTGTTTCTGTGTTGCATGGAGTGCTAACCTGTGTTCCCAACCATCTGGATTTTTTTCAATGTAATTGTGAAAACCATTTTCTTGTAATAATGCAGTGAAGCTTTTGCCCAAGGAAATGATATTCCTCTTTGCCACTGGCAGCGCCTTTGCCAGTGTCTGGTGGCAGCCTGAGGCTGGATCTGTGCTCCCTGTGTAGGGCTCAGTGTGCCCCAGCTCAGTTGGGCTGGTCCCTGTGAGCCATCAGCAGTGGCCAAACAAGGATGGGTTGGTAGGTTTTAAAGGAAGAGAACTGTTATGTCTCATCTGCTGTGAACAAACATGCAGGAGAAGCCTAGGTGTGAAGCACAAGGCTTTGCTGGCAAAGCAG